TCCCCCTTCTCTCTTTTTTTTTTTTTTTTTTTTTTTTTTTTTTTTTTTTTTTTTTTTTTTTTTTTTTTTTTGGTGCCAGGGATTGAACTTGGGTCCTTGAGCTTGCAAGGCCGGCAGCGGGACCACTGAGTTAAATCCCCGGACCCCCTAAAAGTTTATTTTAAAATAATTAGAGGAAACCCGCAGAAGCCTTTGAAATGTCTTAAAGGGTCTATATAAGCAGCCGTATAGTACAAAACATACTTCCCATGTTAACACAATTACATTACCTTTTAAACCTCAAATTGCAAACTATAACTAAAGCAAGAAAAAAATAATTGCATTAAAAATAAATTCACTTACACAATAATGAGCTGAATTAACCACCTGAATTTCATGTTCCCAACATTAAATTACATACCTCATGTGCATGTTAGTATAAAAAAGTGCCAGTCTTGTTCAAAGAAGACTATTAGCAGTCATCTAAGTTCACTTCATAATTATAGAGAAACAGAAAGCTTGTGGAAAGGTGAAGGAACAAATTTTACTTATTTTTTTACCTGTTTGCAAAGAGCCAGCTATGAGGCTAAAAATGTAGTGGTTAAAATGCTCATTCACTTACAGGTACAGAAAAACCTCTGTACCTGATGTGTCTGCATTTCAAAGATGCACATTACCTCCTGGGTTTGTCTTCGTTGCCTACGTACATGAAGCACAGAGCTGTGGCTTGGACACATGCACACATGGGCACACACCCTTCTAAGGAATCGCCAGCCAGCAGGTGCCACTGGCAGACACTACAGTGCCGCCTCGTGGGCAAAGTGAGCACTGCCCACAGTTACGTAGACTCCAGGGCAACCAAGATTCAGGAAACATTCACGTGAGTCAGTACTCTCTTTACAAAAAAAATATTACACATTCAATCCACAAAAGGCAAAAATGAACCCTTCTAGGATATCTAAAAACATTGATGTCTTTAGAAAATACAAATACCCAGATATGGCTGGAATTAGCAAAGAACACACAGGCCTGTAGCTGAAGTCTTGGCTTCCCACAGCTGCTGCCATTCGCGTGGCCCTGACCATCGCTGGTTCGAGGACGGGCTAAGTACGGCCACCACAGCACCTGACCCCAATCCTCAAGCCCAGGCCAGCATTCCCTCCAAAACTCAGATTTCCAGATATAATCCCAAAGCTCCTGGGTCACACTGTTTGCGGGTCAGACCTATGAATTTCTATAAAGTTCTGAGGTGGTAACAGTATATGAGGTTAAAGGTCCTAAAATCAGAATAAGTTAATTTAAAACACAAAATCAACCTCCTAGATTTCATGGTTACTGCAGGCGATGTCAGTCCTTTCAGACAGTTAAAATCAACATATCAAACAGGAGTCCCAGAGATGAGTGCGGCACATCGGGGCCCAATGCTGTTGACACCCTTCTAAGAACCACAAATCCCAGGTCACAGAGGACAGTTAACCAAAAAACGTTGTTCTGTGGGAAAAGACAAAGGATGAAACGGGAACCAGCCCCCGGGAGGAAGGCCAGTGGCTTGAAGGTAACAGGTCTACTGGAGAAGTCAGGACAGAAACAGGGAGCAGTGCCACTGTGAGCCGGAGGAGGCTCTTGAAGGTTCCCTGGTTAGCCCTGCTTTCCGGACCCATGAATGGGGCAGTTGGGATCCTGTGTCCTCAGGAAGCAGAACATTTTTCAATTGAAAGACAACTTAAGAAACAGGAGGGCTTTCCTTCCCTATCCGAAAACAGGGCATAAAAACAATATTCAAATGGACTCTTAAATTATGTCATCTTCTTTCCAATTTAGAAAGAAAAAAAAAAAGATTTCAAAAGCATTAACACTCCCAGTTTAACCTTTGAAGACAAAACTCCCATAGAAAACACAGTCGTCAGTAACAAAAAATAACTGATGTGAATTATGACTGTAAGAGAGCAAGCTGAATGGAAAAAATACAGAAACCCTAAATACTAATAAATTTTTGAACTCAAGAGTCCAAGTTTCATCTCTTTAGGGTTAACCGTATTATGAGAAAAAAAATATTCAAAGCCTCGATATATACATTTTTTTCCCTAGATCATTAAGAGAAGTAAAAAAACCTAAGTTATTAATACCCCATTTTACACAGGAGAAACTGGGGGTTGATCATATTAAGTAATTAACTTGACCATGTGACAAATGTAATCCCAGTGAAAGCCTTGCGGAATAGATCAGGTCTGTAGGACTCCTTGCTAGAGAGCTATGTCCACATTACAATCTAAACAACTGCAAAAACACCACCAACCCACCATCTTTCACAGCCAATAAGATAGCTACAGCAGGCTAGAGGCACTGTACATGTGTCAACACACTCAGGCTCCAAATATCCTTCACTGTTCCTGCCGTGAAGATACCTACGCTTACTCTCTCCTTACAGACTCCACGCCTCACCCTCTGTGTCTTCACAGAGCATCTGACTCTCCTCCCAGTCCCTTATGCATCCCTCAGGCCTCCTCATCTCTTCACATACCCACACCTCTACTCATACTCTCCTCACACCCCACACCCGTGCTCACTGTGTCCTCACAAACCCCACAACATACTCTCCTCACACACACCATACCTAGACTCGCTGTCTCCTCACACAGCCCACACCTCTCAATGCCCTCACACACAGCACATCCCATCCAGTATCTTCACACCTCACACCTCTACTCAGAATCTCTTCACACCCCACACTGCTATTCACTAGGTACTTACACACCCCACAGTCATACCATCAAACTCCACACCCTTATTTACTGTCTCCTCAGAGAGCACTATCTCCTCACACACCCTACACCTCTATTCACCGTCTCCCCACACACCCCACAGTTCATAAACTCTAACCCGGTCTCCTCATAGTCCCACATCTGTATAGTTTTATCGTCCCTAAACCTCTATTCCCTGTTTGCTCACTGATCCCACATACTATTCACTGTCTCCTCATAGACCCTACATGCTACTCACTGTCTCTTCTCAGGCACTGCACCCTATTCACTTTCTACTTATAGACTCTAAAGGCTACTGAGGGTCTCCTCACACCCCACATCCTACTCAGTCTCTTCAGCTTGCACACTGGACTCACACTCTCCTCACAGACTGAAGACACCTACTCCTTGTCTTTTCACGCATGCTCTTTCAAGCACCCAGCTTGCTCATTTGAAAACCTACAGTGGCCTCAAGTGGCTACAAAGATTGCAAGAGGTGAACCAGGACTGAGCGTGCACCAGCTGCGAGGAATTACAGATCACCTTCTCCCAGGGGCTCATCTTATACCTCACCACCTTGTATGTGTGGTACCGCTCACACCAACTTCACTCCTTACTCCTTTTCCTCATGAATTTAACTCATTTGGTTCCCCTTCGATCCTAATCCAATGCAAGCTTGTGATTTGAGCCTAACCAAACAGTAACAGCTCCTAGATAAACTCTGCAACATTTAGTATTTTTACGTTTTTCTTTTACTTGTATATGGCCTGTCACAACTTATGTATCACCTCTGTACCTACATCATCATGTGCCCTCATCTTCTGACACCCACCCGTCCACCCCTACCTCTAGCTCCATGATGTGCACCGTGCTACCGACCATATGGAAAAGAACTCAAAGGCCACTGAATGGCTCACTCCTTGCCCTTATGCCCAGCCTCTGATGCTGTTCTTATTTCTTAAGTTTTCCTTGTACCCGAAGATAATCAAATGGAGGCTACTGATTTTTCCCTTTTGTTACCTTTGGTCAACTTTTAAGAAATGCATTCTATTCAGATAATTTCATTAATTAGTAAAAGTCTACTATTTTAGCCTTAATCTGAGCCAGCATACTTTGCACACACCCATACGCTGGCTCTCAGTGAAAGTGTCATATGAATTCGAGCCGGCAGAAACAACCATCAGAAAGAATGTGCGTTCCACACATTTCTCACAACTACTCCGGAGTGACCTCCGAAATATTTAAGGCCCAGAGTGGCCTTCACTGGGGCCACAGCCAAGACCAGGGTTTCCCAGCCCCTCAGCTGCGCCTATACCACGGCACGGACAGCTGGGCTAGGGCAGGACTGTGGGACAGCAGACCACTGGGTACCACTGCCCATCCTACCTGCTGCTGAGACAGCCCCTCAGGCATCGGCGTCAGCACTGCCTCCGGATGCTTGCAGTCCACATCAATGAACAAGCTCTGCTCCTCTTCGAGACAAGATCTGTGGTCTTAAAATGGGCCAAGATGCATAAATGCCACACAAGCCCATGTGTCTGGGATTTCACACAGCACAGCACAGTGCAGTAAGGTGTCAGGCAAATCGTTTTGCAGAATTTCCATTTATATGCTTACTTCACACTCAGCTCCTATTAGAATGAAATTCTAACACACCCAATAAAATATTCTTCCCACAGGGATAATGTAGCAGCAGTATCTGACAATTTCAACACAGAAGTCTCAGCTCAAAAGGCAGAGGGGTCAGGTGAACAGCTGGATAGCAATGGGTTGGGAGCTCTCCCACCCTACCCCGTGGCATTGGGACTGGAAACCAAGGACTGCAGGGGCACAGCTGATACCCAGGAAGACTCAGGCTGGACTCTGTGTTTCTCAACTGTCCATCCTACCCTCACAATGAAAGCCTGAAGGGGCATAGTTTTCCAAAAGTCAAGATGTCTAAACCAAAACTAAATTCATTTTTAAAAGCCAGATACAGCTAGGTACAGTGGCACACACCTGTAATTTCAGCACTCTGAAGGCTGAGGCAGGAGGATCACAATTAAGCGCAGCCTGGGCAGCTTAGGGAGAACTTGTCTCAAAAAAGAACTGAAATCTCACGGTTGGGGATGCAGCTCTGAGTGAAGGCCCTGTGTTCTCAAAACAGCCAGACACCCTAACCTAAGAACCCCAGAAGAACACTGGTGCTCCTGGGTCACAGAACCTTACTCTTCTCATCTCAAGACCCTGAACCCTGCCACAGAGATCTGAGCTGCTTGCTTTGCAAGCTTCCCTGGGAGACTGGCAGATACTGGGGTGCGACTGACACACCCAGGCTGGACAACACTGGCCCTGCCAAGCTCCATGTCCCTCTCAGGGACAGAGATGGTGACCGGGGACAGCACATCCTAGAGACCCTGCAGAAGACAGCCTCACGCACAGCCCACACCTACAGAACCTAGGACAGCCCAGCACCGTGATGGGAAGGCGATGCTGTGCTGGGAGAAGGGGGCAAAGAGGGACCCAGAGTGTGGCCCCAGACCCGCTGTGAGGACCAGGCATGGCTCACTGTGTCAGCACGCACACACCATCCCCCTGACCACGGAGGCCTGCCTGGACGCCTAGTGTTCCAGGGTGGATGCTAAAGGGCCCGGTCAGTTTTAGCTCCAATGGCAGAGGGTGTCCCTAGGCCACTCGATGAGGAAGCAGCAAGTGTGCAGTGCTTCCTTGCTCGTGTGAATGTGCATATGCGCGTGTGTTCACACATATGCATATCCCTGGAGACTGAGCCCAGGGCTCCTAAATGAGCTACATTCCCAGCCCTTCTGTATTTTCTATTTTCAGACAATAACTCGTTAAATTGCCAAGTTTCAAGGCTGAACTCAGACTTGTGATCCTCCTGCCTCAGCCTTCCGGCGCACTGGACCCACACCTGGCCAGTATTTTTCTAAACCCACACATAGGTCAGCAAACGCTGTGCACAGGTGTCCTGGTGTGGCGTTACATGCAGGACGTGTGCTCACAGACCCAGTGGAGCCCCCTGCACGCTGGGGCAGCTTGTCCGACCTGAGGCTCCAAGGGGCCCCTGGGTGCCCAACAGCACTGGCCCACAGCCCACGGCCAGCACACGCTGCCCATGGACACAGCCTCCATACATCAGAGCCACCAGGCTACGCCCCTGTCCCTGTGAGGCCAAGGAAGTCCGTACACTCTCACAGCAGCTTTCCAGAACCAGAACATTTACAGACACCACCATGGTGACCACCGCGGGTCCAGGGCATCCTGCACCATCGAGGGCCCCCGGGCAACTGTGTGATGCCCGAGACAAGGCCTGCTCAGGGGAGACGGTAGGGCTGGCTGCCCGGGATGCCTTTCACTCCTGCTGTGCTTTGTGGGACCGCGTCCTTCCTAAGTCCTCCCAAGAACCTGGGCCAGACCTGGGGAGATGAAGGACTTGGTCCTGATGAAGGAACGGCCTCTCTTCACGGCGGCCTTGGTCCGCTCCAACCCGTCCTTGGTGCCCTCCTTGGCCGCCTTCATGAGCTTCTGCATCTGCAAGAGTGAGACGCCTGTCTGAGAAGCAGCACCAGCCCCAAAGCCTGTTGTTGCTGTTATTTTAAAAGAATACTGTCAAGTAATCTGGGCTTCAAACGTTACCTGACATTGGGTTTTTGGTGTAGGAGAGCTTGGTTATCGTGTGTGTGGCTGTCAGCTACTTTTCATCTTGTTTTTAAATAAAAGGCAAAGGTGAAGTTCAAAAACAGAGCCCCTCCTCCACACTGAGGAGACTCCTGCTCTGCCCCAGTCATCTTTAATTTCTCTGCAGTCACTCACGGGCAGAGAGCTCTGTGGTAGCCACAGGGACAAACAGGCATGGATGTCAGAGGTGCCAGGGCTGCACGGCACAAGCAGCAGCACAGCCCTCGCACCCACCTCCTCGTGGGGCCCTCCTCCATGACCAGCATGGTGCACGCGTCACTGCCAGCTGGAGTCCCTTCCTGCTCTTGGGGCACACGCGGGGCAACCCGTCTGCAGACCAAGCAGAGGGCGACGTCCCAAGGGCCGAAGCTTGATGACTGCCGATTTATCACGACTGTCAGCAGCGCTCAGGCCTTCCGAAGGCAGGGTGGGCCTCTGCTTCTGATTCTGCAGCAGCTGAACACCTGAGCATCAGCCGGGACCCTGGATGCTCCCTTTAGAGAGCACCTGACCGGCCCAGGAGATGAACAGCACCCTTTTGCTCTGACCCGGAGCTCCAATGTGCCCCCCAGCACCCGACTTCCCTTTCCACTGCTGCCTGACCTCTCTGACTTCCAGGCAAAAGCTGCAAAGCCACAGGTGCCCGCCTGCCTGCTGCAGTGCTGGACGCCACATGTGCCTGCGTGTACTGACGCATGCTTTGGTGGCTTCCCACATAACCCATCTCGAGGTCCACCATGGCCTGTTCCCAGCCCACTGCTTCCTGGCTTCAGACCCCTTGGTGCAGTCCTGGCCCTGAAACCCGGAAGGCCGCAGAGTGGACAGGGCCCTCACGGCGCAGATCCCATCCTCATGTGAGTCCCAGGAGGAGAGGTGCCCCGCCAGCCCTGAGAGAACACCTGACCTGCCCTTACACAACACAGGCCCCCCACCGGGCCCTGTGCTCACTGCATGGAGACTGAGCGGCTCCCACAGCGCATGCAGCACCCCAAGTCCTGAAGCAGCCTCGTCACTGTCACACTGGGAGCCAGCCTAGAGCACCTGCGCTGGAGGGAGGGGTGCGGCACGCAGGATGCAAGCAGACAGCCACTTCCCCCAAGAAGCCAGGCACACTGGGCAAAGGGACGAAGGCCAGGCTGCAGTGACAAGTACTTGACAGTGCCCTTTTAAAACACACCACATGGAACCAAGTATCATGATTTAAATCCAGCAGTTCTCAAACTTTTTGGCCCAGGAGCCCTTTACAGACTTAAAAATTCTCATTACAATATTTACCTCAGTGGTGCTGGGATGGGACCCAGGGCCTCACCTACTGCTAAGCATGTCCTCCTCTGCACTACACCCAGCCCCTAAAAATTTAGTTTGCCTGGACTTTGTTAACCTATACATAGTGACTGTATGAGTTAAAACTAAGAAGATTTTGAGGTTTTCTTGCTAACATTCACTTAAGAGGTGAATCTATTACTTATTGTCTTAAATAATATATGTGAGAAATTACTGTATTTTTCAAAACAACAAATAATGATGTTTATGCTTTTGGAAATCTTTCTCTCCAACACAGCTGGGCTCTGGCCTCCATCGACTGAGGTGCATACCACAGAGCTTCTGGAATATTCCTACAGTCACTCACGAGAGAACAAAGCATGAAGAGGGTAAGATGCCTCAGAGTCAGTGTGACCCCAGGAGCCCCGGGGCCACACTTTGAGAACCACTGCTGGGGCAGGAGGGGCCAGTGCAGGGCACGGTCAGCCACTGTCGGAGAGGACCACACTACCTTCTGCTCCTGCCTGCGCGTTAGCTGCTGTACCTCCACGGCTCCCACCGTGCTGGCCACCAAGTCTCTCATCTTTTCCTCACAGTGCGCCTTTAAGCGGGTTAGGTCATGAGAGAGCTGTGGCACAAAAAGACAGTGTCTTTCAAAACAGGCCCAGCCAGACCCCATGACCCTGCTCTGCAGGGCCACGGCCAGCCCCACTGCCTCTTGGTGGCGGGGTGCACGTGTGGGTGCATGACAGCATCAGAGGGCTATGAGGAGTGCCACCTGGGCACCTGCACAAGGCCAGCACCAGAAAGGCCGAGGTGACGGGGCCTGGGGTCTCCTGGACCACCCTTCCAGCCCACTACCATCCTAGAAATGTATGCAGAGCCAAAGTCCCAGGCTCCTGGGCATTCTCATGTCCACCACGAGGACACGCAAAGCACGAATGAGTAAACACTCAGGACTGCTGTTGGGATGACTCAACAATTCAGCCTTTCTGAGTTTTTAAAATCTGACACCTAAACTTGTAAGTGTGAACTCGGCTCTTCCGGCTCAATCCCCCGACCCACAAGGTCTCAGTCCACCCCACTCCAGCGCGCACAGTACATGTGCTCCAGCCCTCGTCATGACTCAGCATGCACGGCCAGCTTCCCACCCACCTCTCGCACTTCTCCAGCAGGGAGGCTGAGGACCCCGACACCCTCACTGGTGTGGCCGAAAGGTCCACCGGGGCAGAGCGTCCACAACGTCCACCCTTGACTTGAGATGGTCTGCCGCTCCTGAACACTCACCTGCTGGCTGGCTGACAGCCTCGGTGTACGTCAGAGTGTCTGACTCCACTGCACCAAGCCAAATCCTCCCTCCTCATGAGCTCTGCCAACTAAAATGGCAGCTTCACTCACTGGCAAAACGAGGTAACCCTGGCCACGGAAAAGACCTAAGTTCCTGGATAAATCCTGTTCAAAATCCAGAGTTGTGAGGTGTCCACTCAAACTAGAAGACCGTTCCTGACTTCCATGAAACAGGTCTAGGGATCAGAATTCTAGACAACCACACGTGGCAGCCATGGGAGAACGCAGGCTCTGGTTGCTGGAGTCCCTGGCTATGCCCAGCTGTCAGGTGGGGTGGGGCCGATGGCCAAAGGAACTGGCCAACAGGCACCGAGGGCCCCATACACCTCCCCGGGAGGCTGCAGGCCTGCCCACCCCACCCACACAGAGCTCACTCTTCCAGGGCTCCCAGTCCCTCCTCTGACCCTAGCTTCAAAGAAACCCAAAGTATAAACATTTTAAAGAGCAAAATGAAGGACAGATAAAAGGATTCAATGAGGCAGATCTTCTGCAGAAGGAGAGCGAACTGAGGGATGGAGAGAGGGAGGTAAGATGGCTGTGTACATGTGCCAACTCCCCAAGATAAACGGCACTGTTATACCCTGCACAAATGGACTAATAAAAAATGTTCCATTAAAAAACTTTTCAGGGTAGTTTAGGAGCTTTGCTCTTTTCTGTCATTCTCAACACTTCCTGTGATATCAACATCCTGCTTATGGGGAGAGGCTGGCGCACAGGACAATTCAGGGAAGCACAGCTCTGGGAGAAAAGGCTCAGAGTTCCTCGTGTGCACTGGGCTCAGTGTGCCTCATGCGCACCCTGTGTGAGGGCTGACTGTGCCCTGTGTGTGCCCCAGAGGCCATGTGTGAGGGCTCAGCGTGCCCCATGTGCATCCTGGGGACCCTGCATGAGGGCTGAGCCTGCCCCGTGTGCATCCTGGGGACCCTGCATGAGGGTTCTCTCTCTGGGAACTAGGCTGACTGCAGGAGGAGCTGGCTCCAGATGGCAAGCCTGCCTCTTTCTGAGAGTTTAAAGTCCATCCTCCACTGCCTGAGCTATGTGAAATGACACCATCTCCTTTGCCCATACTTCATGTTCTCCCCAAATTACACGTCCACATCTTCAGAAGCAAGTGTGCAAGTGTTACATCCCACAGCCCCACGCGCAGGTGAGAGGAACACGCCCCAGTTCGCGGAGGCTGCACACCTACTTGCTTCTTGTGGCTGCTGCGCAGGAAGGACCGTGGAACGCCGCTCCTGCATTCCGAGTCGCTCTGCTCTTCGTAGCTCTCAAACTCACTTGAGCTCCACCCATACTCCACAGAGCTATTCCCACCGTGCTCTCCGTTCTCAACGTCATCATAAATCATTTCCTCTGAGGGCACAAATCCCAAGATGAAATTAGATCCAAATGCAGAGGTTCTCACTAGCTTGCTGTTTTACCTCATTCAGAACCGGGGCAGAAGTGCATCTGGGTAACAGAGGAGCGATGGGCCGAGCGCAGCACTCCTGTAGGTGGCTCTCAGAGGTGAGGTCCTGCAGCCCCACCCCATCCTCACCCCAGGGACCACTGGCCTGTCCAAACCCACCTCAGTTACCAAACACTGCTGGCAGGAGTGGGCTTTCCCTGAGGGACTCTGTCACTAGGGTGAGACAGGCAGCTAGTCAGATGGACAATGGACAGCTGGGCACACCTGGGCACTGGACAGAGGATGAATATGGCAACAGAGGGACGGCACATGACAGGAAATGGGTGGACGGTAAACAGCTCTGAGCAGCCAGACAGACGCGACACAGGAGTGCTGATGCTGGGAGCCCACTTCCGACAGCAGGAGTCAGAACCCTGAAGAACACATCACGTTTATGCCCCCAAAGGATGACAAAGGTCTCTACTAAAGAAAAGTCTTTGAAGGCCCAAGGTGAGCTACACCCCACTCATCTCAGGATCCTTGCCCTGAAATGTGGATTAGCGGAGCTGCCTGACTCCACCCTCCTAAGGCCCTGAGGCCGGGAGGGTGACTGAGCACTGGGCGCCCGGAAATGTGCAGCACAGCAACAACACACACAGAAGTCTCTGTCCTAGTGCTGCGGCCTGGCAACAGGACTACGGAGAACAAAAATGCTGCTCTTCACACTCCAAAGAACTGTGGCTTTTGATTGCCACCGTCAGCCACACGAGCACAGACAGCCCTCTATCCAGCTGTCAGACTTGAGAATCAATCGTTCCTGCTTGCATTGCCATTTAAAGGTGGCACACGTTCATGAAAGGGCGTTTCCGTGCCTGCACAGACCCACCTTCCCGTGCGAGGTCACCATGCAAATCCTCAGCCGCCCTGAGTTCTGAGAGCCCTGAGGTGCCAGGCACTAAGGATGAACACGACATGTGGAGAACATGCGAACACCAACTCGCGTTTGGTGGAAATGAGAAATTCGACGAGGCTGTGCCACAGCCCGGGCTCCACGTGCTTCCCATCGCCACAGCCCCGCATCTCTCCACAGAACCAGATTCCTCTTTCCCAACACAGGGCAAAGCCTCCAGGTTTCGGAGCAACAGCTCTGAAGAGCAAGGGCCTTGGATCACGGTCTGCAGAGAGGGAGGGGCCTTCAGCAGGGCCCAGAGCCCCACCCAGGCACCCAGGTGGGAGAGCGCTGGTGCGCAGCTGCAGTGCACTGTGGCCCTGACCCAGGACTGTCTCGAGCCCCAACAGACACACTGGTCTTTGGGAACACCCCTGGGCACCCTGGCCGACTCCACACTCCTAGAAAGAAGGGGAGGGAGGCACTTCCTCCACAGACAGCCCACAGTTTCTCTGCTGTACCGTCCTTAAAGGGACACAAGCCCCACCAGGATCAAAGTCACGCTGGCAGGTGGCTCTCTGGAGACTTTGGGGGCACAATGACACGAGGCCTTTGGTGGCTGAGCTGCCGGGACAGACAGCCAGAAAAGGTACTTCACAGCACAGGGCCATAAGCCCCATGCACGCTCTCTGCCGGGTGTCACTCTCCAGGTCCTCGGTGGCTGCCTGTCTCCCCGCCAGGTCACCGCCAGCAGGTAATGGTGCCTGGAGGGTCTGTAACTATGACTTAACTGTCTTCCCCGTTTGTATGTTCACTGTGCAGTTAGGAACGTAACATTTTAGCCTCCTTCAACAGGGTAAAAGCACATCCTCCAGTTACGAGCTCTTAGTCCCGAGTGGCCACTGAATCTTCCTGCGCACCTTGAGAGGAGCCAGGCAGCATGGTCCCCAGTGTCCTAGGTGAGCTTTCACACTCTGCAGATGCTGCCCTCTCCTAGCACTTCCCGGGGTTCACACACCCAGGCTGCATAGTGAACTGAGCCGAGCGGGCAGCCCTGCCTGTTCCCAGGTGAGCAGGAGGCTTCTGACCCTCCTGGGAGCACTTGGAGTGCTCTGCCAATCAGCTAAGCAGCAGGTCCCAGGTCTTGGAGATTAGTGATTTACTACTGCTCTCTCCGTGGTCAGCAGACTGCGGGAGGAACCACTTGATTTCACAGAAGTAGTCACATGAAGTCCTGGTTCTCACAAATCCTCACAGCCGCCACAGCCTCCTGCTCAGTGTCTTCCTCCACCCTCTGCTTTGGGCTTCCTGTACACCACCAGGATGTCTGTCCCTGCAGCTCCGGTCCCCTGACGTTGCCGCTGCTGTGTTATCGTGGTTCCTTCCTTCCCTGCCAGTGTTTGCTTTGCTGTCCTGTATAAAACCGAGGTGGAGCAAGGTCCGTTTTTTTCTCCATCTCTTAGACGTTGACATATGCCATTACGTCTATAACCATGTTACTTTAAATGCATCTCACAAGTTTTTAGATTTATCATGTCAAAATACAGATTTTCACCGTGCTTTCATCCTTGTCCCTGGTGATAGGTTATATAGTACAGTGACCTTTAATTTCCAAATATTTGCTTTCTATTGATTTCGTAAGACTGTTACCAGGTATGATACCTAAACACCAATTGTCTGGCATTTGTTAATCTTTGCTTGAGCATACAATGTAATTACAGAAATATTCCTGGGTTGGGGGAATGTACATTTGGAAACTATTGGTGTTAAGGTTTTCCCACATCCTTCGATACCACACACCAATCTACATTAACTGAGCACCCAGCCTCCACCGGTCATGGCTAGCATCTCCCATTTAAATCACACACCTGCCTGCCCTATTTGATTCCACCTTCACCTGGGAACTTGCTGTTTCCAAGGCCCTGCTGCAAGGCATCGCGCTCCTCCTCCAGCCCTGGCTCTGATCACCTCCACCCACCGCCAGCCATGTCAGTGCCTCCTGCTTAGCCAGCCCGGGCCTCTGGCCCCACCGTCCACTTCTAGGAACTGGCCCAATCCATGCCTACTGTAGGCATCAGTACATCTGGACTTATTCTGCAATCTTTCCTCTTTCTCTTTACCATTCTTGTTTAATTTATAATTTCTAGCGCTCGGTCAGGTTGAATTTTGCTTTACTGGTTCAGGAGTTAACCTGTTTCTGGGCTCTTAGCAGTTGTTCATAAAATACATTCGGGCACAGTCATAAAAATCCCAAAACAAAGCACAAGAACCCGAAACTCTCTCTGCCTGTTATGGTTGGTGTTTGGCTGTCCCCCAAGCCTCTTGCAGATGAGGTGGGGCATTCTCTGGAAGATGTGATGCTGGATTAAGGGTGACTGCCAAACCGCTGCATGTGAGTGATTAGTCTGACCCCAGCAGTCCGAATGGAATAAAAGGGGCAGAAAGACGCTGTTAAACCCTCTTGCTATGTTTGCTGCCTTGTGTGTGCCATGCTGCGTCTCCTGCGAGGCCTATTTGCCATCCCAGCCTCAGAGCCAACCGACTATGGACTGAACTTCTATGAACTGTGAGCCAAATAAGCCTTTCCCTTTTAACTTTGGGGTATCGGGTATTTTGTCTCAGCAATGAGAGAAAAGCAAGTAACACACAGCCCCTCCTGCAACACAGGTTGAGTGACCAGAGCCAGCCGGAAGCACAGCCCTGAGCAGACCCCTGCCACGGGTGCCGTCCACGTCCATGACGTCGGTTGGTCCAAACCTCACAACTGATCCTCTCGCCGCTCTCCACCACTTCACAGTACTTCCTCTGGGCTCAGGGCCACTTTCCTTAAAGCAACTGGTCTCTGCCTGCTCTTCCTGCAGGGCTGATCTCAGCCAGGTGCTGAGACCAGGGCTGAGCTGCTTCTGTCCGCACCCTGGAGACTTCACCCCATGTCACTCACTGCTCCACACGCAGAGGCCTGGGCTCTCAGGGCGGCCCCTGGTGCCGTGGTGTCCTGTTCTCTCGGCCACTGTCAGGGTTTCTATAGATTTGGCACCTGGACTGGTGTGTTAACACTGCACAGGGCTTGCGTTTCTACCTGCTGACAATGTATGTGGCTTCCTGAACTTCTGGAAGGTTCTCGGTAACAGCCTTTGAGTATCACCTTAGCCGGATCTCCGTATTTTCTCGATGACATTGCACATCCACTGGTACTTCTTGGCTCCCACATTTCTTCCCTCTTTGTTCCTCTTTTCTCCCTCACTCTTTCTGCTTCAAGCACTGTTACATGCACCGCTCCAAGCCACTCACTCGTCAAGATACGAAATGTGGACACAGCCCCTATGCTGGCCCCGGGCTGAGCACTGCAGGGAGAGCTGGAAACCCAACCCTCATGCTCAGCTCTGGTTTCAGAGAACAAACCTGGCTCAGAGTCTGAGTTTTCCCTGGGGACATCGTCATAAATGGCTTCTTCCGGGTCTGCAAGAAAAGGGAAAAAACTTTAAAAATTGACTCAAACCAACCAAGCGCTACCTTGCCTTTCTGAGGCCACGGCCTCCTCTGATGCCCACTACTCAGGAAGCTACTGCAGGAGGGCTGCTGGTGGCCCATCTGCAAGGTCAGCATCCTTTCAGGGTAAGAGACTTGGCTCTCAGGGGATGCGCTGTGGACAGACTTGACGGTTTCCAGGCTGACTTATTCCAGACTCTGATTTACACGCCTCCTAGGGCTGTCCTATAAGCATGGGGGTTGAGCCCAGGGTTTCACAAATGCTGTGCTCTACTGCTGAGATAACCCCTAATCCTTTTTAAATGTTTTTATTTTGAGGCAGTGTCTAGCTAGGCTATATAAACGGGGCTCCAATTTGGGATCCTTCTGCCTCAGCCTCCCAAGCAGCTGGGATTATAGGCCTGTGCCACCACACCTGACTCATAAACATTTTTAAGTTTGAAATTAAAGTGTCCTGATGTATAAGAAAATACAAAAGGTAATGTATAGCATCTCAGACATAAAATGACAGCCTGTATTTTGGGGAACCCAGGACTCTGAGAAGGTGTATGTTTTAAAGGAGAGGCGTGGCCAGGCCAAATGACGTACACAATTCAAGATGACACAGCAGAAGAGCAATGAGCCTGCCACTGATCAGAGTGGTGTCTATTTCATTGGTGGTTTCCCGGAACACTCATTACAGGTACCCCCTTTCCAAACCACAGCGTACAAATGCCCTGACATCATCAGAAAGAATCTTCACTTCTTAAACAAAAAGGATCTAGCTGGCAATGCCCAGCCTCTTAAATGACAGCAGACCCAAGTGTGGCGTGCAGGCGGTGGGCTGGCTGGATACCCACCCGGCCACAACCCTGCTGGGCCGCGGGCTGCAGGTCACAACCTCAGCTCCCGTAGGATGCAGGACAGAACCAAATCCATACCTGGGAGAAGCAATCAGGAAGGGGAACGACACAGAGGGGTGTGATCATCTGAGGGAAGCAAAGTCCCACTCCAGGAAGCCCCAGGGATTCCCCTGGCAGGCAGCCTCGGCTAATACTGCAGGCATAGGCGGCTCTTTGATATTTTAAGTAAATGAAGCTGGGTGACTAAGAGCACACCTGTAATCCCAGAACTCAGGAAGATGAGTTAAGTGGACCACGGGTTTGAGCCTAGCCATAAGGACTTACTGAGACCCTGTCTCCAATTGAAAAAATACAGGACATAGGATATAGCTTAGCACGAAAACCCTGGTTCATTCCTCAGTAACTGAAGGTGAACGAAGGTCTGTGCAAGCTTCTGATCCGACCCAGCAAAGCAGGTAGCACACTGCCAGCCACAGGGACCCAGGCTCCGGGGTAGGGGCACTCACTTTCCATCCACGCTGTGTTGGCCGGATCCGCTGCCCACCGGGCAAGGGCACTGCCTTCCCTGATGCTTTGATCACCACTGGAAGAAAACACACGGTGAAGTCAGAGTGCAAGGAAGCAGGCCGGACCCTGGGGACTCAGGGCCCACGGTGCGGTGTGCACCACGGTGCCTGCTGACCCTGACAGGACTCAGGAGACACAAGTTCAATCATCAGCAAGCAAGCCAGTGCTCTCTCTGAGCAAGGTGCCCACCAGTGCCTCAGGAACCAGCAGAAATGCCATCCCTGCTCAAAAAGGCCCTGCCTCTCATGCTTACACAAGGCGGGGTGGTGCAGGGCCCAGACCACCCATGTCATAGGCTCACAGGGCCAGGCAGGGACCTGGATTCTGACCAATGTCTTGTGCCAAAGAAGGACCGGATCCAACTCACAGGAGAACCCAAGATCGCCCATGAAGGCATGGGGCCTGGTCAAAGGGGTGCACGTGAATGGGCCCTGGGTGTCCTGCAGTGTGTCATGGGTGTGAAGCATACGGAAGGTGAAACAGATGCACAGGAAGGAAGGAGAAACAGGGCGAGCATCTGAACACCCAAGGGGAGGCTCTGAGGAACTCTCACCCAAGGACAGACCTAGTACACATCTTCCCAGCGTGGGAGAGAGGCCAGAGGCAGGCCCCAGGGCGCCCTCTCTCTCACTATTGCTTCTTGGCCCTCAGCACTGCACCAGACAGCCCACAGGCAGCCTAGGCCTCAGATCCTCATGGGCAGGAAGTGGCTCTACATGCAAAAGGGGCAATTCCTGCACCAGGGGCCAGCCAAGAATTCCTCACAATCAGAGTGAATTTAAAAGTTATGAACTGTTTGTTCTGGGATTTTTCATTGAGTGCTGTGGCATTTCCAGGAGCCCACCAAGGTCCACACCGCAGAGGTGTGGGCAGTTGGGAAACGTCCAACTGAGGACCAGCTGCACCAACAACTCTTGTGCAGGACTCTTGTGCTGCATAGCCTGAAATTGTGTCTGAGCCAAAAGCTCCTGGAAAAAAGTAGAACTGCAGAAAATACGAGTAGTATTTAAAAATATTCCCCAATGCTTCCATATGCTTAAAAATGTCGAACTTTCACAAATCTCTGCACTTGACTGAGTTCACTGCGCTTTACAATGTTTTCTTTCAAAGAATCTCACTGTTCAATGACACATTTCCCACTGCTGAGGATAACATGCCGCTAACATTCCCTACACACACAGCTGTGGTTTCTAACAAAGGGCGTGGGTGGCTCTGCCTCTGCCTGTGAACTATTCCCTTGTCAGTGGGAACTTCTCCCCACAAGTCCCCTACGTGTTCTAGAGGGTCTTGTGTGGGGGACGCGGTGACTCCGGGTGATGAACAAAGACACAAGCAGGTGTGCAGACCAGGTGGACAGCAGGCTGTTCAGAGCGGGCACACAGCCGGCTGCCCACTCACTTCCTGTCACCCCAAGCCTGTGGCACACAGGGCACCTGTTGCCAGGGACAGAGGCGCAGCTCTGGAGTCCCTCATGCAGGACAGGTCCATCAGGGCCAGGGCGGAGGACTGAGAAATGGATGACCCTGTGCTTCACCATGTAGTCTCCACACAGCAGAAAGACATAGGTTCGCATACACACAAGAAATGAACAAAATACCTGTGCAGAGGGTCCTCAGAGCTCAGGGAGTTGAACTGGTGGTCATCCACAACTTCCGGTGTTTCTGCTAGGAAAGACAAAAACCACACTGTTTCATGCCTGACAATGGGCTTCTGTTAACATAAAGATTATTTACCAACACATCTAAATTCCTGTTTTCAAATAAAATGACTAGGACTATAATGAACTATGAAATCCCAAGGTCTTATAAAACATAAATAAAATGCACAGACACGCAGCTAACTGAGGCCAGGGCTCATGCGCTCCCTTTTCACACAATTTCCCACAACCTGATCCACTGCATGCATCCACCTGGTGACTCCCACTGTCTCTTCCGGAGAAACAGCGGACAACACGACACACACCCCTCACACCCTCACAGGGGCTCGTGCTCCCAACACTCAAGCTCACACACCCTGCCCGCACAGACTCTCCAACTGCAGTCTTCTCACACCCATGCCGCGCACACCCTCACACACGCACTCATTCCCACACGCCATCTCACACTTGCCCTCTTGCTTGCCGTTCACTCACTCGCGCACACCCAGGCCCTCACACACAAGCATGCTCACTCACACGCACGTTCATGTAAACACACGTGCTTGAGCTCTCACACACACTGGCTCCATGCTGGTGTCCTGGGGTCTCACTGGCAAGTCCTCCAGCTGTCAGTGACGAAGGCTGCCCACAGGCTCCACACACGCCTCATACAGGCGGACAGGCATGGACCCAGTCCTAGAGCAGGAGTGGGCACGGCAGGGGCCTCAGGCCTCCCGGGTGAGTGTGGACAGGAGACAGCGTTGTCACGGCTGTCACAGTGACTCACCCCTTAGTGAAGCATCAGGAGCCCCTCGGATGTAGCAGAAGCTGCTCAGCCACTGCCCAGACTCTTGGACACCACACGCATCCTCATGCCACACAGGGACTTGTATCTGAGTGAGCAACAGCCCTGCCCACCCCAGCCCAGGGCGGCTGACTCTGTGTGCTGACTGCAAACCTCCCAGGCAGCCACATAGCCAGTGCCACAGGAACACACGGAGGCTGGGCCAGGCCCGGCTTCAGTGCCCAGGTCTGGGACTGGCACTCGTCTCTCTGGGCTGGGCGGGGCGGGGCGGGCAGAGTGCAGGCTGCTCTGGCCTGGTGAGTGGGGCGCACATTCAGGAGAAGAGGGCAGCCTGCATGCTGTGACCACTGTGATCCACAGCAGCACTGCCTCGGCCACTCCCCAAGAAAGAGCTCGGTGCACCCCTCTTTCAGGCTCCAGGACAGACACAGGCTGTTCCCGGCTCTGGGACGGACTGCAGTGTTTATCACCAGAATTTGTTACTGGCTCTTAGTGGACAGTAAACAAAAATTCTTTTAAATCATGCTGAGTTATTTTTAAAATAATTTAGACAATATTCAATTACTTAAAATAACCAGATGATTCAGAATTAAGCACGGGTCTCGAAGATGCGCACCCCTGCTCAAGGGCACAGGCTCATACCCCACACACTCCCTCCTTAGCCACAGCACCAGAGTGGCCTGGGGGCCCCAGCAAAACATGAGGATGGCGCTCAAGTGCTGTGGGAAAATAACTGTCAAAAAAATCTATGGTTTCCAGTGTTCAAAAGCAATGTTTTCTTCTAGGATGGTTTCTTCCTGTTAGCTAGAAAGAAAAGCCTTTACAGAAATTTCCACATAAACAAACTGCATCCTCTATCTGAGCCACTCCAAGTGACTCTCAGGGGTGCAGGCTCACCACAGAATTCCCAGTGTCCAGGACACGGGACACATCTGCGGGCAGGCAGGAGGAGACACGGACAGCCAGGCACCCCTGACCTGCAGATCTGCACAGTGCCCGGCCCCTTGCCCAGACCGAGCCTTGCAATGGCCCCGGCACACTCCCAACCCCAGGCGAGGCTCAGAGCGCACAGCCACGCCAAGCCAGCAACCCTGGCCACAGAGACCTGAGTGGGGAGGACAGAGCTGGCCCATCCTGCCAGAGCTGAGGGCTGGACAGTACTACGGCAGGCGCCCTGGGCCGCGCATCTCCCACCTGCTCCCTACCAGCTGCACTGGGGCCCCAGTGTCTCCTGACCCCTCTTATGGGCCCTGCACTCCCTGGACAGAGAAATACATCAGGAACAGGGCGAGCCGTTCAAGGCCTCTGTCCCGGGAGGCAGAGCTCCAGCTCCGTCCACTGCGGGAGCCCATCCTGTGGCTCAGCAGGGGACCTCAGGACGCAGTGGTGGGGGTGCTGAGCAGCGGGGGCTGCCTGCGGCAAATGTCACCTGGGTCCTCCCTCACGGGCAGCGTCTGGCACACAGGGCCAAGTGTGATCCCAGAACTGCAGAAATGAACTGAGCTTCTCCCTAACCGAACCCTGTCGAGGAAGAGAGCAGTGAGAGCTCAGGTCCCTCACGGGAACACGAGGGCCAGAGATGTGCCGCGTACCTTCTTCGTCCACAGACTCGGTGCGGATGATGACAGGGCTTGAGTAGGCAGGCAGCAGCACAGGCAGGCTGGAGGGGACAGCGTAGCCGCAGGGAACGGGCACTGAGTATCCGCTGGGCACGTGCAGACCCACACCGTCCTCCTCAGTGGGCAGCTCTGGGGGTGGCAGTGCGTCCTCCTGCAGCGGCGTGATGTCAATGACGGAGTATGGGTTCACCTTCGTCGGGACTGCAAGCCTGGCCGGTTCTGCCCCTTCGAAGGCTTCTGCCCCAGGTCCCTGGTCATCCCCTGGAGGACAGGACAGTCAGCCACACGGTGGGGAGGGCCCAGGACTTCCTCCTGGGCCAGGCAAGGACAAGGAGGCCCTTGCCCTCTAAAGACGGACCCTGGTACGCCCAGACTGATCCAGATGGCTACAAGGCACACTACAGAATGGGGTTGGCACCACTTGGCACAGGTGAGACCGTGCCCAGCGGCTTCCAGAGACATGAGCTGGGAAACCCCACAAAGAGTCTTCGCCAGGGACAGAGAAGCGTGGGGCTGGCCCTGCAGTCACCCCCGATGCCTGCACACATGAAGACAGGAACCTTCCCAGCTAGCCCAGCCGTGGCACCCTGGCCCATGCGGTACAGCGGCAGAGAAGAGGGCACACTTGCCTCCAACACAGAAACAAATGGACACGGCAGCGAGACTGCCCGCCAGGAGACAAGTACTGACAGAACCAGAATCTTGGCCCAGGCCCCGAGGCACACTCGGTGGGACTCACCCTCCTCAGGAGAGGTGCCAGAAGGCCCCAAGGCTGCACCCACTGCTTCGGCCGCAGCCCCCAGGCCAGACGGGGGTTGTCGATCCGCTTCTGGGACTTCATCCCCACTGTCGAAGTCGAACTGCTCTCCCTCTCCCTCCTCGTTGTTATTAGTGTCACATCTCACTTCGTTTTCTAAAGTTTAAAATAACATCAGGTACAATATGGCATGTGTTCCCAGCACCAGGTCAGGCAGAGGGCTGAGGAGGGCTGGAGGTGGGAGAAAACAAGGTGGAAAAGGAGGGAGAGAAAAGGCGTCTCTCACACTATAAACAGATTTACCAGGAACTCAGAAGTCAACTAGGAAAACAATCAACTTAGGCCCAAACCAGCCGCGTCCTGGGGAGCAGCTCCCCCGGGCCCATACCCAGCTGAGCCTGGTGCGTGTGACCTTGGCAAGGCTGGAGCCCTCTTCCCAGCCTGCGCTTGTGCGGGGTGGACAGGACCTGCGGACGAGTGCACTGTGCACCAGCACAGCAAAGGTGTGACTCAGCACACTGCCCAGTACAAGGCCCCAGGTGACCCCAGCGCAGCTCAGGGCAAAAGCCCTCTCCGCCTCCACCACGCACCGTTTACCTATACACAGGCGGACCCCGCCGTGAGGAAGTTTTACAAATAACACTTACATGATCCGAGTCCCTCTCAAGCCCCCTTCCTCCCTATGTACAGAGGCTTTGTTTTCTCCTTCTCTTCTCACTTTTCTCTCGTCCCCTCGCTCCTCTCCCCTCACCCTCCCTCCTCCCCTTCCCACCTGAGCACTTCCTTCCCGAGTCCCAGCATCCACTGACATCTCAGTCCTCATTTCCACTTTCCGTGTCTCACACCAGAGAAACAATGCGGTATTTAAAACTGTGTCTCATTTCTTTCACTGAGCAGTAGGGTCTCAAGGTTCATCTGTGTACCTATAAACGTCTGAAGTTCATCCTTTTCATGGCAGAGTAGTACTCCATTGCAGGAAAAAAACACGTCTTTATCCACTCATCGGTTAAGGGGCAATCGGGCTGTTTCCAAGATGTATCTATTACACACTGTGCTGTTATAAACATGCACGCGCATATATCAGTGTGGTAAGTGTCTTTTAATTCTTTTTGGAAGAAAAGGTATAGCTGGGTCCAATGGAACCTCTAGTTTTAGTTTTTTGAGGAATTTCCACACTGATTTCCACAGTGGTTGCACCAGTCTGCACTCCCACCAGCAGTGGAGAAGGGTTCCTTCCTCCCAACAGCCCTGTCAGCATTTGTTATTGGTTGATTTCTTTCTTTTCTTAAAGTTTACTGCACATTTTAGGTATATATTTTGATCACATGCATCATTGGGAATTTGTACCTGTACATGACATTGGCTCTTCTTTTTGGTTGGTTTCTTGATGACAGCCATTCTTTCTGAAGATGGAATCTCAGTGTTGTTTTCATTTGCGTTTCACAGGTGACCAGTGATGTGAAGATTTTTTCACATATTTATTTTCTGTTTCTAATTCTTCATCTGAGAAGTATCTTCATTTCATGTGCCCATTTTGCACAAGTGGACTTTAAAAGTCTTTTTTTAGTGCAGAGTTTTAAAAGAAAAACATCAGCAGACTGTATGTTTTAAGAACCAGAACAATGTATTTGCTGTAATCTCAAATCATTAGTCATTTTCTTTAGTTTTCAAGAAAAATAATAGTACGCATCCCGCAATTAGAACATTCAGAAACAGCATTAAAATCCTGTCTCTGTGAGTCTCAAGTACAGCAGAGTATCCTAAGCAGACTACTCTTACCATGCTTTGGTTTAGGAAATCTAATGCCGTCCTTGTGTTTCCTCGCGTGTCTACATCGCACAGTGGACGCAGTGCTGTGCCGCATGGCACAGCAACCTGGGCAGTGTCCCGAAGGTGACAGCGGGGCTGCTGCCCACAGGACCGCACTGCTCCGGGAGGAGGTGGCAGGATGCGGCCAGGAGGAAGGGCTGCTTTCGGCCTCTCTCCCCGCTTCCCCGCCACCTGCTGTGAGTGCTTGGTTTTCCTCCACCCAGATCTTCATCCCGCTGCTCTGCCTGGCTCACAGCTGTGGACCACCCCAAGCCAGCCAGCGCCATCCTGGCCACCTCGTCCACAGGCAGTGAGCACTCTACCAGTCGGGAGCACTGACTAACACGGGGCACTTCACACCAGAACCCTCTGCGATCGAAGGAGGACGGCACCGCCCCACAGCTTCCACAAAGTACACGGGACCGATTCTCACTCGTGCCCACAACATGTAGGAGGCCAAAGATAAGAAGTAAAAAGTAGAGAGACGAAAAGGGAGAGGGAGCGGGAAGGAGAGAGGGAGGAGGAAAGGAAAAATCTCGAGCTCAGGTGCCGTAGCAGGGGACGTCCTCCCCACCTCTGAGTCCTTGGCAGGTTCTGATCAGGCCCCATCCAGCCCATCTGGCTCCTCCCATGCTCTCAGGGGCCTCGGCCTCAGGTCCCCTACCTCCCCTGGGCAGAGGCCAGCGCTCTCAGCTCTGTGTGCAGGGCAGGGCAAAGCAGGGCAGCTGAGAGAAGTGCATGCCGCCCCAGGAGAGGCCTTGCCGTTTCCAGTGCCCACATGGCCGGTGCAGGACCAGACCCTGGGGCCTTTCTCCCAAGCAGGCTCCAGGCCACGGGCACTTCTACAGACACCCGACGGGAGATGCAGGAGCACTCACTGAGGTGGTGCTCAGCCCCAGGGCAGAGACAAAGCCAGCCACGTCCCCCCGCTCCTCAGACCACAGTTGACTACAAGATGCAGCTCTAATGCAAGACGTGACTCAAGCCAAGAGCACTCATCTCATCTCATGGTGGCCGAATGCACGATTTTAAAAGAGGGGAAAAGCATCAGGCCCCTGGGACTGTTCATGGCAGCTGCCCAGCACAGCGGAGGGCTTCTGTCCAAGCTCAGGATACACTGCGGCTCATTGGGTCACCCACTTTCATAAATTGCACTCAGAATGCGACAGTCCAACTTCCTTTTCCCAAACATAATGTGGTGTGGAGGGATTCTGCTAGCACAGAAGGCTTTGTGCCTTGCTCTCTAAAATACTCTGTCTGGGGCATCTGGCAGGTCAAAGCTTGCAGCCAGCCTACATGCTGAGTTCCTGTGGGCCCTGAGTCAGTAAGTTAATGCGCACACACATGTGCAGACGCATGCACACACGCACACAAATACACACAAGGGAGGGACTGCTCCAGGGTGTGAAGGTGACACAGGGGCCAGGAGAGCTACCCCACACCCTCACATACCCCTCGGGCCGAGGCCCTTCCTGACACACAGCATCGCCCCACATACCCCCTTAGCCAGGGCCACTGGGCACGTCCAGGGCAGCACGGGACGGCCAGGCATGGGGAGGTGGGAGAGACCACCACATGGGAACAGTGGGCAGGATGCTGCCAGATGCAGCACCAGAACTGCAGGGACACAGAAGACACGACACTCACCAAGGGGAAGGGTCCAAGCCAGCTATGGAAATGGACTCAACAACACAAAAGAACATTCAAGGACTGTGCCTCACAGAAAAGCGGTGACCCCAATACAGCAGGAGCTGGTGGGGGCAAGGGGTGGCAGCCACAGGGCAACTTCCCACCCTCCTCCCTCAAGGGCAGCATCGCTGGGACTAAAATGGCCCTGAACTGCAGCGGAGATGCTGCCGCTGAGGCTTGTTAACTGGGAAGTTATTACCTGCTGTCAGGGCTTTGAGCCAGCCACTGCCGCCTCCCAGTCCTGACTGAAAGCCACATCCAGCCATTGGCCAGGATGCTGTGCCCCATGACAGAGCTGCGATCGTGCCCGCCAGGATGGCAGCTGGGGCTTGGGCGGCCCTCACAGCCCACATAGGACATGGGCAGTCAGCTCCCAATCAGGGCAGCCCCTGCCAGGGACAGCTGTGCCAGCAACATGGGAGCTAGGACTGACTCAGGACGGAGGACAGATGCAGCTGTAGTGGCAGGAGGAGGGACATGACAGCGGCCTTTCATTCAAAGCCAGGCCGGTGAAGTTTCCTCCCCAATACTGCAACGGTCTCCATAGCACAGCGACAGAGTGACTCCTCCCTTCAATGCCGAACCCAAGTGACAGGGGGTGCACAGTCAGCTGAGGAGCCAGGCCACAACACACGGCGAGACCCTGAGGCCCTCTGCCAGGGCTCAGTGTCCCCCGCCTCGGGCCTTCCCACAGACACTCCCATCTCTCCCATTTGGCACCCTGGGTCACTGAGGGTGCCTCCTGGTTCCGGGTGTACTCTGAGGACAGCTTCACCCACAGGTCCCCTCCTGTGACTCACACACAGCCAGACCAGGGTGACTACACAGCAGGAAGAGCAGGATGGACCCACAGCAAAGCCCATGCTACGGGGAACCTCAGACCTGGCTATCGCTGGCACATAGTCCCCAATGCTGCCCTGGACCCAGGAGGCATCCAGCAGCCACCCTGAGTCATGTGGCCCTTTCCTGCAGGCAGCAGGAAAGCCTGGGACATGGACAGCCCTCATGGGACCTGCAGAGTCCACCCCTCTTTTGGTAGTGACCTAACTGTACCCAGTGGTCTTCCGGTCACAATCTTTACCACTGAGCAGATGACGCAGATGTCGCCTGGCCTAGGGCCATGCAGAGGAAGGAAGCAGGAAAGGAACTGTGTGAGCTGTGCTCCCTCCAGGAGAGGCCACGCAGGCTGTGGGGCACCAGCCCAGCTACAGGCTCTGTGGCTCGACGGGGCCTTTGACCAGGAACCTCTTCCTCCACACTTCCCCACTCCAGAGCAAACAGGAATTGGGACGCAGAGGATGGCTCTTCACAGATGGGGGAGTCTCCCAGGCACAGCCCTCGCCTGCGTGCAGGCCGGGGCACTCTGAGGGCTTCGCAGCAGTGGCCAGCATGCTCCTTTCTCTGGAACACCCTCCCCTGCCTCACCCAGGGCCAGCAGTTCAGGGACACTGGATGTGTGGAGTCCCCAGCACCCCGCAGGGACACCCTACCCTACCTGCAGGAGCCAAGGTGAGCCGAGGTGCCTCTCCCGGGTCCATGCTCAGGCCTCAGCCTCTGCACAGGGCTCTTTCAGGAACTACTGCCCGTCACGTCCAGAGTGGGCACTGTCACTCACCACGGGGCGCCTTCAGAAGGACAGGAGAAACTGTTACTCGTACAGTGGTCATTGCGAACCCCCAGAAGTGACACCAGGGCACGTCACCTAATGTCCAGCACCTCCTGTCTTTGCTCACTTCTCACTGGGCCTGGGGCAGAGAGCAGAGTCCTTCAGCTGGAACCTGCTCAGCTGTGAAGGCGGATATGCGCAGAAGCAGGAGCCACACTGACGTTTTCTCCGCTGCTGTTGAGTAAACAGTGACTAATCTCCTGGTCAGGCATCTCCACACCTGGTGCTTTCCCCCGAGCACGTCCTTCCCCAGAGCGTCACAAAAACCAAAAATGTGAGAAAACTGTTGACACCAGCAGCTCACAAGAAGGCCCGTTCCCAGGTCCTAAGGATGCCATCCTGTTAGCATGCACCAAGGGCCCTCCTGGTCCTCATTTAGATACCCGCACTGCCCTGCAGGGGACACAACACGCCTGCCCTCACTTCTACCCTGGGCCCCCGACACCACCCAACAACCTATCTTCCACCAGGAGAATTCCCCAATTTTCCCTGCTGCATCGGGTGCACGAGGGCCTGAGTGCAGCACGTTCAGATGGGCTGGCAGCCACACGGAACCCTGGCTCACTGGATACAGCAGGTTGCAGCCACCTACCTCGTGCCTACCAAGTTAAGAGCCTCCACCCGCTCTGCCCCAAGGCCCCTCGTAGCCCCTCTGGCACTGCCCAGGGCGCTGCGTCTGTGGCACCAGGGGCACGGATAAGCTGCTCAGCGCTTGCACACCCTCCCCAACCTGTTGGCCACCTCCTGGGGACCCTGTGTGCTTAACTCCTGGGTCCATGTCATTTAACCAACACACATACATACACGTGCATGCACGCACGCGCACGCGTGCGCACACACACACACACACACACAGCACACAGACACATGCAGGGATTTGCCTGAGCAGTGTGAGCCACTGCACACAGTGACTCTCACATACGATACAGTGGAAAACACAACTCCCAACCCACTAGACGGCAGATGTTCCGAGTTCATGTCCCGCAATCAAAGGATGAAGTCTAAGAACAGAGGTTAAGAGCAGAAAAGGTTTACTGAGAGAGTCCTGAGACAGGAGGGGACCCGAGGCCACTTCTCTAAGAATGTTCTACGAGCAAAACCATGAGAGGATACAAATCCAAGGAATGAGTACAATGTGGGTCAAACTATAATCAACCAATAAGATTACGACCATGGCCACTGAGCAAAAGGGACACAGCCCATGGAGAAAGGGTGCACCGAAGGGAGGGTCCGGATGCTCTGGTCACCACCTGAGCGACTGAAGCCTGTCTGGACTTCCTAGACTAGGGGTGCCAGTTACAGTATAATTCCAAGTTACTCCTTATCCCTCAGGGAGGCCTGTGGGTCTGGCCACTGCATCTGAATCTTGAGGCCTGGCTTTCTTCAGATGCGAGTCCAGCCACAATTCTGATGTCTATTTTTTCTGCTGGCTCCCTTGAGAGCTCAGTCCTCCTCTGACTGTACATTAACTTCTGTCTAATTTAGCTGCCTAAAACACCACCATGGCTCCGAGAAGTGTGTTCTGTCTCCCTCCCGAATGGACAACCATGGCCTGGAGGCTCAGGAGACCTGGGGCCCCAAGGCAGGCGTCTGACAGGTGGAAGTGCTGACCACATGTCCCTCTGTGCTCACTGTGGGTGAGCCATCTGTGCAGGTGGTTAGACAGCACAGGTGTCCAGCTGTCACTGGAGGCAGGGGCAGTAGCAGCTGTTGCCTGCACAGTTCCGATGCAGCACCTGGAGTCCGAAGGGCCAGTATTTCAGGAGGAGCAAGGAGTCTGTGCTGTACCCTGCTGTCTCCCAGAACCCCAAGGCTCCATTTTCCACCCAGGTCAGGGCTGTAGCAGTTAGGCAGGGAGTGACTTGGGGCGGCCCACTGAGTTGTGGAGTGGGAGGTCCAGGAGAGGCCACGGACATTCAGGGACAGTGTCCCCCTACATGTTGCAGGAGACCACAGGAAGGACAAGGCAGGACAGGCCCATACAACTCTGTTCATGGCCACTCCAGAGCATCTGCACCCACAGGTAGGGAGCACCATCCCTCTCTACCACCCCGTGAAGGCTCAGGGTATACACTGTCCTTACTCGCTAGAATGCTGCAGCAGGGCAGATCCCTGTGGCCAGCGCAGCAGCAAATGTCCCAATAAGAGAGGAAAAGGGTTGGGGCCAGTGACCCCTCTCTGTGGCCTCACAGGGAGCCAAGCCACGAGGATCAGGAGTAGAGGACCATCAACAGTGCCCCCAGCCTTGTAGTCCCGAGAAACTTGGCAGGTGGGAGGCTGGACAGGAGTGCCCAGCATGGGGCAGGGCAGCTGCCCCACCACTGGCCAGTGACAGGGCCAGGAAACAGGCTGGGCAGTGCCACCAGGAGAAACAGAGGCCCCTGCAGCCAGTGATGCCCCAGACTTCAGAGAAGAGAGAGGACCCTGTACTCCATGGATGAACTTAAGGCTCCTTGCTGGGGGTGAGGATGCCAGGGCCAGACAGTCACCCTACTGCAAGCTGAGAGGTCAGCTGCTGCCCAGACATGGTTTGCAAGTATGCAGCCTGGGCCTCACAGCAGGGGTGGAGAGGCCAACCATTTTCTACATCGTGTTGCCTGGCTCTGGGACGAGAGAGTTCCGCTGTCCCTCACCTCCCGGCTGGTGAGGAGATGGACAGAGAAGGACGAGCTTGCCTGAGGCCTCCCCCACAGACCTACTGTCCTCACGCCAGCCCCAGAGCCACAGAGCTGAGGCTCGAGGGTACCACAGCCCCTCACAAGCACAGGTTCCTGCTGGCTGCAGCTGGAGGGTCCTGCTGTGGATGGACACTGTCACACTGCAACAAGTCCTTCCAAGGTCAGCAGCCCTGGGTGGTCATGCACCAATGGGAAGCTGGCACAGACACCCTCATCAGAAGGCCATCGTCACATGCTCCTGCCCCATCCCCATGCTGACCCTGACCCATGCGGGGCTCCGACACTCCCCAGCCTCAGAGCTCATCCCAGCCATCCTCAGCCATGCTCACGATGCCACTGCACTGCCCTGACTGCAGTTGCCAACATGAGTACCTGTGAGGTGGCACTGTGTACCTGCACTACAGCTGCTAATAGAAGCTGACATGTCAGGCTGGTGAGGCCGGGACATGGTCTCAGGGGGCCCATTCGGAGCCCCCCCTGCACATCCTGTACATGCCCTCCTCCAAGCAGTGGTGCAGGTCCACAATGTCCCCCGGGCAGTGTCCGGAGGGCTCAGGAGGTGCTTGGACCACAAAGGCTACAACACCTCGAGTGGGTCTGCCGAGTGCTGAGAGGATGCTGGGCAGGTCCTTGGAGGAGGGGCAGAGGGAAGGGAGTGGTCATGCATGACCTTGGGGTCTGTCTGGTCCCCAGCCCTTCCTCTCTCCTCTCCCTGGCTCTCTGCTTCCTAGCTGCAGTGAGGTGACCTCTTTGCTTCCCCCATGACACCTCTGCCTCATGCAGGCCTGGCAGCAATGGAGGTGATGGCCGTGGACTGAAGGCCCTGGTGCTGTGAGCCAGAAGAGCCTCTCCTACTCCCTCAGGATCCGCCATGGCGGGAACAGCTAAGGACACTCCAGCGACAGGACTTCAGGGACAGCTGTGGCCTCCCTCACCCCATGGCCAGCCTGAAAGGGGAGTTTAGGTGGACACCACAGAAGGGCCCTGGAGAAGGCACCAGCAGGGGCAGGTCCCGCAAGACCACATGGCCCTGGGGAAGGACGGGATGCAATAGCCAGGCCCTTCGTGCTGGGCTGGGCGCCTGGAACAGTGGGGCAAGCTGGGGCCATGGCCTGGCTGCTGGATAGTTCCAGCCAGCCTCAGCCCCACATGCTGAGCCGAGAGGAAGTCTGCCTCTCTCTGTGTCTCTGTCTTGTCTCTCACGTTCTGCATCTCTATCTCCTTCTATGTCTCTCTGTGGCCAGGGTGGAGCTGGAGGGAGTGTGTGTGTCCCAAATGCAGCGCTCAGTGGAGCTGCACTGTGCCGAGCCTGGGTGGAGCTGCCTGGGGGCCTGCGTCACCACAGGTCTCCTCCACCTTCCCTCCATGCCACATCAGGCAGAGGCCCAAGTGCTGCTCCTGTCCTGACCCTCTCAGGAGTTCGTCCTCATGGGACAGCTCCGGAACACTTTCTTGTCCATTGCCCAGGGGACCCGGGTCCTCCCCAGCCAGGCACTTGGCACAGCTCAGGGCAGTGCCCACCACAGCAGCCAGCCAGCAGGCCCATCCCTTCAGGAGGCTCCACGGGGCACCAGGGGCAGATGCTGCCAGCCAGGCCTGCGCAGGGGCGCTCCCTACACCTGCAGCTGGCCTTCCAGGGTCACTGGGGACAGGGACAGCCCAAGGCCACATCCAGAATCCAGTTCAGTTCATGGGCCACCTAACCACAGGACCTGACTGCCCCATGCTACCTGCTCTCCTGGGTCTGGGAGCCACATTTCCAGCATCCCTCCCCTCTACTCTACGCCCCTTTCCTCCTGGGTGACCTCGTGTTGTACCCCCAGACAGCCTGAGCAGGCAGCTCTGTGCCTAGGTCATGCCCTTCCATGCACCCATGGCAAAACCCACCCAACTGGGTCTCACTCACCCCAGCAGATCCCGGCTGTGACTTTCAATAGCTGCTGGCTGACCTCGGTGTCTGTCCTCATCCTGACAGGCTCCCAGAGCCACCGCAGTGTCCAGGTCCCCACCATTCTGGCCTCATCTCCACAGAACCCACACTACAGCCTGGGAGCCATGGCAGGCCAGCTCCCCACCACATGGGCCCTCCAGGTATCCCTCACACCTGCTGCCCTGGGCCACAGAGACCAAGTAGCTGTCCCTAACTGTGCTCTGCTCAGGGGATCCTCGGAGGGCCTAGCAGCTGCCCTCTCGGGGCCCTCACGTGTGCCATTCCTGCCCAACACTCAGCCTCACCTTGTCAGCCCTCTCCACCTTTCCTGTGAGCCCCACCTGGCCACTTATTTAAATGGCAAATTCCCCTCCCTTATGCCCACACGTGTTCCACTCCTACTTTTCTTCCAGCACTTGTCACCATCGAAAGCACCATAAAAAGCCCAGCATGGTGGTGCATGCCCATAACCCTAGTACTACAGGAGGCTGAGGAAGGAGGACTGCAACTTCAAACCCAGCCCATGGAACTTAACGACCTAGCAAGATCCTATCTAAAAATAAAAAATTAAAAGGAGAGAGTGATCTGGGGATGTACCTCAGTGCAAAAGCCCTGGGTTCAATCCCTACTACTGAAAGGAATTACCTTAAATTCTACTTGTTTGCCATCTCTCCTAGTCCGAGGTCTCCAGGCCTGGGCCAGCTGCAGGGAGCGCTTCCAACCTCCACTCACAATACCCGTGGCATTTTTCTCCTTCAGAAAAAGGCTGCTCCCTTTCTGAAGTCTCCTGAAGGATACATGAGAACAAAATAACAACACATCAACAGGGCACAGCTAGGGCTTGGTGTGCAAAGCCGTGCTGGGAAAGGCACCCTTGAAGGACAGGCTGCAGCCTGAGAGAGGCAGCCATCTGCAGGGGGTCCTGGGGCAGAAGCCAGTGGCACAGCACTTCTTTCCTTCCCATCTATTGCAAAGGTCCAAGTCCCCTACTTGGCCCACACTACAGAGGCGCTCTGCCTGCCCACAGCACTGCCTGCCTGGGCACCTTATCAGGCCAGGATTACAGTGTAGTAGGCAAATCCTGGAAACCATACGTCTCCCCTCCTCCGACACCACCTGTGATTAGCTCGTCTCTGGCAGAGTCCGGTACCTTCCATTCTTTCCTATGAAGTCACCAGAACTGTGCAAGTCTAAACGCTATGGCAGGACAGAGGCCTGCCGTCCCGTAGGCACCCCAGCTGCACACTGTCCCACCTCTTACGGGAGTCAAGTCCCTCTGCAAGGCAGGGGTTCAGACCTCAGCCCACTGGAGAGTAGCCCCCAGAGCCAGAGCATACAGATCCCAGCAACTCTGCATGGCCCTGTGCAAGTGCTTCTGCCATCCAACTGGGGCCCATGCGAGCCACCCCGCCAGCCCACACTGGCCCCACGGACCTGCTGAGTCCAGGGCTGTATCAACTTCTTATCACTTCTACAGCCAGGGGGTGCCAGGGTCACAGCTGAGCTTAGTGGGAGAAAGCAGCTGGCCCAGTCCACATGGGCCCATTGCGTGGCTGGGTGCCACCTGGCAGCCTGCACACGCTGGGGAAAAAGACCCAAAGGTGTCACAGGAGCTCCAGGCCTCCAAGCTGTAAGCACCATCAGCTACCAGACCCCTGGTTCCCATCTGGCCCCTGGCTCCCATCTGGACCACTCAGCATTTCAAGAGTTAGGAGCCACCTTTGCAGGAGGTGGCCTGACAAGGGGACCAGCCCACTGCCTGGACATGCTGGAACTCAAATACACCCATCCTCTTCAAAACCAGATCTCCACCTCAGCTCTACTCTGCCACCCTGGGGGCACTGAACAAGGCCTCCACAACCTAAGGCTCTTAAAGTCCATTTCCTCAGGTTCCTTAAAGAAAATCAGAAGCCAAGCTGCAATCACTATCCTGCTTTTCTTTCAAGAACATAAAAGTGCGCACAGGCCTTGGGTTCCAGCCCAGCACCACATGACGCATGTACACAGGGAGGCAGGTCTCTATACAAACAGTTTTACTTGTATGATAAACAGTATAAAGGATATAACTGATGTACAGTATGAAATATACAACTTACACAAGCTCTCAGTCACCCACACAGGAGAGAACACGCAGGCTCACAGCAATATGCTGACCTCCAGCACTGAAAAAAAGTTATCTTGCTGGGTGTGGTGGTGCACACCTGTAATCCCAGCACTCCAGAGGCTGAGGCAGGAAGATTGCTGAGAGTTTGAGACCAGCCTGGACTACATAGTGGGTTCCAAGGTAGTCTGAACTACATAGTGAGGCCCTGTCTCAAAAAAAAAAAGCTATTTTCTATAATTTTGAATTTTACCTCTTGCTCACTGTTCAGGACTCCTGTGACAATAACTTGCTGTGTGTGGAGATGGCTCCACTGAGAACAGCACTGACACAAACGACTCTTTGACCCAAAGAAACCGCCCAGTGTAGTCCACACTGGTACTGAAGCCAACTTTCTAGTAACAGACATGTTCTATTAAACAGGTGCTCGATGCATATTGCAAACAATAAGTGAGCAGTAGCTAGTGTGTGACTGCAGCACTCCCCGAGGCTGAAGCAATAAATAGGATCCTCAGTTTGAGCCCTGCCAGGATAACTTGTGGAGTTACTGTCTCAAATAGTAACTTTCAAAAGGGCTGGAGATGCAGCTCAAGGTCAAGGCTCTGGGTTCAATCCCCAGTATCTGCCCACCCGCCAAAATAATGCAGCAGTGGAAACCGCCCCCACTTCAACAGGACAAACAAGGCGCTCTCCACAGCAACAGCCACAGATTGCTCACCGGCTGCGTTCTGAGTTCCTGCGGAGTCCACCTCCGGGAAAGGACCGGGAGGGACAACGCATCCGCCTGCTCTCTGCGAGCCGGGCATCCTGCTTAGGATTTGACTCGATTTTTACATGCAGAACCCAGGGTCCCTCAGAGGATCCGCGGGCCTGCTGATAGGTCTCAGCAACTGAGGATCTGCCCAACTTCGAGCAAGAGCCCAAGAGCGGGCTGGGGTGCAAAGGGAGGCCCTGGCCGTTGGATAACTCACAGGAAGAGTCCTCCCGCTAGCCACACCCATGCCCTGTCCGGCCTTCCTGGGCGACTCCAGTGGGTGCGGGCTGACCCCACCCCACCCAGCTGTGGCCCCTGCACATTGCCCAGCGCGCCCACCCCGGGCCTGGGCCTGGGCCTGGGCCCTGCAGTATCCCCAGGGGTCAGGACACGGCCGAGGGCGGGGCCGCCAATGCTCCGCGCGTACTTGGGGGCACACTCTCGGGTTGGGGGTGCCGCGCTGCTCCAGCTGTACTCGGACAGCCGCCCGGTGAAGGTCACCGTCCTGGGGAGCCGCCCGCCTGGGCTAGGGGGACCTCCCTTGAGGTTGGAGGTATACCCGCCTAGGCTGGGGTCGCCCTCGCTGGCTTTCCGCTATGTGAGCCGCGGGACTCGCTTGTCCCCAGACCCCAGGTGGGCTTAGGGACCTCGGGGACAGACAAGCAAACACGAAAGCCTGCCAGCGTCAGCCTGGGATCACCAGGAGCCTTCAGCCGCACTCACCGCGCATCCTGTATCCGCACCAGCCAGGCGTCCCGCGACCCCAGCCCGCCCCAGACTTCGAGGCGTCCGGCCCCGCCCAGGCCGGGTGAGTATCCCGCCCTCAAGCCGTGATTGGCCGTACCGGGCCATGCCAAGCTCCCATTGGCCTGCGCGCCTGCCCGCTGCTCGGCTGCGCCCCCGCCCTAGCGGCCCGCGCATTCCTTCGAGGCCACGTGGCTGCTCCCGCCTGGGCCCCCAGCCCAACGCCCGGGTCTGGCTGCGCACGCGTGGGAGAAGGCACTCGCGGGGTGGAAAGGGCTCCCGGCCACCTCCCAGCAGCTGCCCCTCCTTGGAGACCACAGCCTGGCTGAGCCCTCGGGTATGGGAGGGGGTCCACAGGAAGGCCAGCCAGGCCCAAGCATCTGCTCTCCGGCCCCCCTCTGCGTGCCCCGCCTGGGCACACTCCTTCCTCACAGCAGGGTTAGGGGAATCGCAGCCCTGCAGGTTCGCAGTTCATGTCTTCTAGTCCTGGCCCGGGACCTGCCTTCTGGGGCTCTATGCCTGGAGAGCGCGTGGACAGGTCAGCTGCAGGCTCCGAGGCACCGAAACGCGACACTGCGGGGCCTGCAGGTGCCCTTGCTCCCTTGGAGTTTATAATAATGATACTTAAGCAAATTACCATAACTCCTACTACAGGAAGAAATGGAGACAAAACCAGTTTTAATCAGGCAGAAGTCAGCTGCAGTGGGAAATTGAAAATGTCGGACCCATGTGGGGCCTTCACTGGACTTAGCGAAGCACAGAGACCTTTTCTAACACTGAATGTCACCAAGTTCATCTAAGCCTAAGTGCCCTTAGAGGACCAGTGCTCTGCAGTGTCATGTCCTTGCAAAGTCAGACTGGAAAACCGTAACATAAAGACTAGAATGGTTGGGAATCAAACGACAGTAAGTAAGGTGACCATTTAGCAATGCTTGCTGGTAGCATTTGGTAATTTTGTAGGAAGGGCCAAGTTATTTCTAAATGCTGGTGGGACCTATTTACAGCGTGCTGTGAAAATACTATAGCACAGATAGATTGAAAAAGGCATCTCCTCAGCACCCGGGATTAGAAAACCTGTTTCAGATTTCTGTTCTCGGGTTGAGAACCTTGTCCAGGCTGTCTGCACAGATGATGAGCAGTCCCAGTCACCTGACGTGAAACAGTCAACTGTGGAAGTACTGCCCACCACACAGCAAGGTTCTGATGCTGAATTCTGACCAAGCAGAGGAGAGATGAGCGGGAAGACACCGCGTGTACTGCCTGTCAGCAGGTGCTACACTCAGGGCCAGGAGCCATGGTGCTGGGCAGGACCATGGCTTGGGGCTGCATCCTGTGGGGTCTGCCCTGCTGTGCTATACACACACCTCTTTGAAAGCCTGAGGGGGGAAGTTGGTATTTTCCATTATGATTCCCTCTGTGACATATGGGCTATTTAGGGAATTAGTTTTCATTATCATATTTAGGGATTTTCTGCTTTTCTTTTTATTATAAATAAAGTTTAGTTCCACTGTGGCCTAAGAATATGCTCTATATGATTTCAATCTTTTAAAATCTGTCAGGCCCCTTGTCTATTTTGGTGAATGGTCTTCCAGGAGTAACTGAGTAGCAGTCTGTACCTGCCAAGAGGTGGTCAGTTGACTGAGTCTGGAACACTGGCTCCATCCGTGTTAACCTCCAGTCGCCCTGTGCTCTTCAGCACCCACCACTCATCTAACCAAGCAAGAAAAACAAAAGACACAAGAATCAAGAGGTGGGAAACAGATAATTCATAGATGAGAAAACAGAGTAATCTACAAATAAACTATTACAATTAAAAATGGAATTCAGAACACTACCTGCCTTGTAAGCACAAGGTCCCGAGTTCAATGCCCAGTACCAAAATTAAAAAAAACTGCTATATAAAAATAAAAAATTGAATTCAGGAGTTGAGATGGATCATAGAGATAGCTGTCAAAAGTAAACTATGAAAGGGGATTTAGCTCAGTGGTTCTGCCAACTGCCTCGCAAGCACAAGGAACCAAGGTTGATTCTCAATACCAAAAAACAAACAAACAAAAAAAACTATGAAATTTCTGGAAGAAAATATAAGAAACAATATTAGTAATTTTCAGATGGGCCACAAGACACACTGACCACTTGGCAATGATTTAACACCCTTCATCAAAATGTAAAAGCTCCACTCAGCTCATGACAGTGGTTATGAAATGAACAGGCAGCCACAGGCAAGAGAGGACCAGACAGGACACAGACCAGGCAAGAAGCTTGCCGCAGTGTGCTGTGTGCAGCTGTCACACAACAACTGCCCAGCTGTGGAGGCTGGTGGTCCAGGACACGGGGCCTGAAGCCTGTGAGGGCCTTCCTGCTGGGTTACCATTTGGAGGGGTGAGAGAAGAGGGAGCCCAAGTGCCGAGGGACTTGGCTTGGCTGTTCCTGGGGTGCGGAGGGGCCTCTGGGAGACCTGGTCCTGGAGGTGGTATTCTCGGCTCCTTTCCACTGGGCCTTCTCCAGTACCACCGTGTGAGGACGATGCTTCCACCACGAGAACAAATTCAAACCACAGTATAGGAGAAGCTCTCATAAATCAGCAGTAAAAAGCAAATCCAGTTAAAAATGGACAAAAGATACATGGACTTCACAGAAGAGGTACCAATGGCCATGGAGAACTGCAAATGGTTTTCAGAGTTGTTATTTTCAGGAAAACCCATGCAATTCCCCTGCACCCAAAAGGAGGTGCCTGAGGTTAAGACGGAAGGGAGCAAAGACCAGGCACCTTGCTGTGGCAGAGCCTAGGCTGGTGCAGCCACTCAGACAGGTGCTAGGCAGCTCCTGAGAGGCTCTCTCAGCAGTAACCTGGCAGGGAAGGCATTGCAAGAGCACCTCATCTGTAACGGAAGACTGGGGTCACACCGGGTGCAGTGACGTGTGTGTCTGCCGAACACCTGCCTGCACACATGGGCAGCTGACAGGAGGATGCGTGGGTGTGGCTAAGGTGATAGTGAGTGGGCCTGACTCGGGCCTCTGAGAGGTGGAAGGAGAGCCTTCTCCTTTCCCTCAGGCCCTACTGGGCAGCCCAACCCCGGAAAGTCACCCTGGCCCCTCCACGCGTCTCCTCACCTCCTCTTGCTGTGGAGTCTCTGCAGCCTTGGTGACACCTGCACCGAGGACTTTATCTTTGAAGCAGCCCCACAGCACCTGACCTCAGAACCTCTGTGGGTGCTTCTCTCAGGCCATGAAGCTGGAACTGGAAGGCAGGGTCGGCATAGCACAGGCCTAGGACTGCTGTACGTGAGGTACACCATCCAGAGAGGCTCAGATCAGGCAAGCATGGGGCCAGGAGCCCCAGGTAGTCACAGTGCCACTGTGGGTGGTGTGGGGTAAAGACCCCACCCCTGCAGGTGCCCTGGTTAGGGTAAGGGCAGTGGAGCAGTAGGGTTAGGACTAGCATTAGGGTTAGGGACAGTGGCTTCCTCAAGTGCACAGGCCTGGGAACCTCAAAGGACAGGCTCACTCGATGCCACTCTTACCGGCCCTCAGAGGCTCCTGTGCACCAGGTCATGTAGACACCCATAGGCCAGCACCACAGGGTCCCTGGCTGTACCATCTCAGCTGGGCTTCTCCCACCACAGCCGGAGTTGACAGGTGGATGTGCAGGTACTGACCCAGAGCTTGTCCTCCACTGACACCTGTCCTCAGCTCTGCCCTCCTGGCCCATCCCCCCGGGCTCTGGGAGGGTCACCCTTGTCACAGGCACTGGTGTGCCTGGCTCACCTCAATCTGGCTGCCCAGTGCCTGTGGGCATCCACACAGCTGGTGCATAGGACTTAAGGTGCACAGCACTGACAGCCAGGCCAACCTGGGAGGGGGCAGGGCGCAGTGGAGCTGGGAGAACCACCAGGGCACCGCTGGCACAGAGCATGGGGCTGCACATGCTCAGTCCAATCCAGGGACTTCACATGCAACTGTGAAGAGTCAGACAGAGGTGACGGCATAGACACCGCCAAGCCAGCCAGGCAGGTTTTGCATAGACAGCAGTGCCAGGCAGGGCAGGGTCCCTGGTGCAGGAAAGACGCATTCCCATGTCTGACCACAGCTCACTTGACCTTCAGAGCTCACCCACTGCCTTCACTGAGATGCCTTCCTGTCAGTGCCACTTGCTGGAACTGTTGGGCCACACCGGCCACTGAACTCCTCAAACCCACCCTGGTATCCAGAGAAACCGCTGGGTGTCAGGGCCCTGCATTTCTTGACTATGCCTTGGGGACCCTGGCCCTAAACATCACCACCTCTCAACCTCTTTGATGGGGGAAGGCCACAAAGAACAGTGGGGCAGGTAAAAAATAAATAAATAAAGGAAAGAGAGGTGGCTTGGGACTCAGCAGAGTCCAGGCCAGACTCCCTGAAGGTCTCTGCAGGACCCTGCAATCTGGAGGAAGAAGGACACATTGTTCCAGGAGGAACAGTGATGTTTTGTTTCCAGAGCTCTGGCAACAGCTAAACCTGTTTTCTGCTGCTTTGGGGGAGAGCAAAGGGCAGAGAGGCCTGGAGAGAAAGCAGCTCTTAACGGTGAGCCTACGGGCAGAGCGGAAGGAGAGCTCCCAGGTCCAGGGTGCCCGGCCAGGGCCAGGAAGGGTTCATCGTCCACAAACTGCCTCAGGCACCGCAGCCAAGATGTGCGGCTACAGCAGGACGGAGGCCAGTGAGGGAGGGGATGCCACCCTGATGGCTCTGGGTCAGAGCAGAGGTGACAAAGCCTGTGCCAGGAGATGCTCACCCCACAAGGGGCCACCATGCCTTGCGCCCCTCCCAGGCCCTCCAAATGCACAGTTCTGTACCCACACGGCATTGGCGGCTGCTCGGCTGGCACCAGACCACCTCACCCTTTCAGGTTGGCCCTGTACGAGAGCTGAAAGGCCTCGGGGACTCAGTGGCCTGAGGTCACAGGAGCTGGATGGATAAGGGGGATGAGGAAGAGGAGAGGCACCAGCAGTCTGATATCTGCTCCTGGGAAACGGGAATGGGACCAGCACCTTGGTCACAGCCTCAAGCACGCAGCACC